TTGCAAATACAATGAAGTCCTTTAGAATATGGCAATATCTCTCAAAGACTCAAGCAATGAGGAAAAACTCAAGCAAGAAATGATTTAGCAATCAAAACAATTGCCTTGCTTGGATATAAGGAGAGGATTGAGTAAAATCTCTTTGGATATTCAAAGGATATATTCTTCAAAATGTTCTAAATGCTCTCATGAAGATAATCACGAAAGTAGGTAGTTTATAGAAGTTAGGGAGAGATAGGGATGAAAAGCATTCAAAAAACTAGCCGTTTGGTAGTTGAAACTGTCGACTCATTTGAATAACTCAAGAACTATTCGAATAGTTTGGATCAATCGCGTGGCTTGAAAAACAAGTTCCTATTTGAATAAATGGTGATTTATTCAAATATATCAGGTTGAAAAACCAGGACTTATTCGAATAAATGGTGATTTATTCGAACAAAACAGGTTAATTTCAGTCACAGGAAAGATCATGACTTAATCGAATAAACTAAAGATTATTCGAACAGAAAGGCAACTTCCCCACATAAAGGCTGATCTAAAATGTATTTTAAAGGTATGGTGATAAGAGAATGAACCTTAGAAATGTCATACTCTTTAACTCATAATCTAAGACCTAAAACACTACCCAACTAAGGAAACAACCTCTTCGGTCTCGTTCCTTCCACTGATGCTCAAGTCCCTTCTTCATGGACGGATATGAACTTATTGTAGCTTTGATTCTTAGCCTTGATGCACAATTTGATGATGATGTTTTGTCACCCTTTTGTCATTATCAAAACCTAAAAGACAATGGGCAAAGGACATTGCAAAAATACATATTCATGATAGCACATTGTCCAACATATGTATCTTGGAAACAATACAAGATATTGCACACCTATTAGCGAAATTCAATTGAAACCCAACATGTAGACAATGGAACGAAATAAAGCAAATATTCCAATATTTTTGTGGGACACGAGACTTAGGTCTCTTCTATGAGAAAGTTGAAAAGTCCCAACTTGTAGGGTGTGCTAGTGGTGGATATCTATCGGATTCACGCAATGCACGATATCTTACAATTTCGTGTTCACGTACGGCGGTACAATAATTTCTTGGAAGTCGACAAAGCAAACTCTAACAATGACATCATCAAATCACAATAAACTGGTAGCACTTTATGTAGCCGGTCGAGAGTACGTGTGGTTGAGATCAATGATTGATCATATACAAGGAGCATGGAGTTTGGAAGAAATCAAGAAGAGTCCTACAATTATACATGAAGACAATGCAGCATGCATAGCATAAAAAAGGGAAGGCCACATCAAGGGAGACCAACGAAGCACATCTCTTCAAAGTTTTTCTCAGCATATGAACTGCAAAAAGAGGAGGAGATCAATGTTCTTCAAGTCAAATCATGAAAAAACCTGGCAAACTTGTTTACTAAATCTTTGCCTAGATACAGTTTTGAGCAACCCGAAAATAAGATTGGACTTCGTAGACTAAAGGATATAAATTAATTTGAGGGGGAACATTATGCATGATGTACTCTTTTCCCCTTGACTAAGTTTTGTCCCACACTGGCTTTTCTTAGTAAGGTTTTTAATGAGGTAGCATAACTAATCATGTAGTATCAGTTAATATAGGTCCTGAAGAACCTAGCAACATATGCCAGGAGCATAATGTTGATAGTATATAATGAACGATGATATATTTGAGGGGAAGTGTTAAATATGGCAGATATAAATACACCCCACCCTGGATGACTCGGGTCACCCAAGGTGGGGTGTTACACCATGGTTGCGGAGAGAGGGGACAAGACAAGCAGAATACTTTTGACAAAAAAAGGTGTAATTTTGGAAGGTAAAACAAGTGTAGCTTTGGATTTTTGTAATAAATTTTTAATATGAATGATGGTTTACTAATACAATTTGGATTACTTTTTGGCATAATGTTTAAGACTTTTTTAGATTACATCGTGTTGTTGCTGTAATAAGTGATGAAAACACATCATGCTGGTGGCTAATCCTTCTCCTTTTAATGCAAGTTTGGTTGCTGTCTGTTAAATTGTTTTCAAAAATATTGAGAATACTTTTAAACACAAACACATGTACAAAGAAACATTTTTTTTTTGCTTCATTACTGCCTTAGCGAAAACATAACATCTAACAATAGCAACAACATGTACATGAAGTACATGTTCATACAAACTACAGATGACTTTACTCTAGCTCCATTACTACCCACACTAAGACAAACCTTACTCTACTCTAAATTTACAGAGAGAACTTGTTAACAATCACAAGTAACAAAACAATGGTAATCACCACCATAAACATAATACATAAAATTCATCCCCATCTCAGTTAACAAACTCCTCAAAAAATTCTTCATCTCTTTCATGTCCTCCATCACATATCTAACAGAGTTTGCCATCATGGCTATTTGCCCATTGAAGGTTGTCTTCGTGTCTTTATCCTAGTTTAAGAATTTCCCACATTGGACATTTCCAATATACTTTTCTGGGGTCAACTTTTGAGTGTGATACTAATGGTTCACTAAAACATGACACTTGTGGCATACATACACTTCATCCTTATAATTCTTTGTTGAAGATGATGCTTGCATTTTGACCTTAAAATCATTACAATAATAAATATCATATTTTTACCTATTCTTGGTAAAACTAACAATCTTAATGAGAGCACAGATATAAACAAAACATAAACCTTAAATCTCACACAAAAAGCCATGGTAAATAACTGAGAGCCAGATCATTGGGATGAGGATAACAAAAGGAAGGGTAATAGCAATTGGACTTCCATTACAGACGGTGGGAACTCAAAATTGAAATCTCATATACAATCTCAATGCACTACTCCATCAATAATAATCATGTACTCGTAATTATTTTTTTATTTTTTATTTCAATATGTAATTATTTTCAAATTCAAACTTGTTTCTTATAGTCCGAATACACTATTACTCTAAAAAAATTAAATACTAAAAATAAAAAAGGAAAAGAAGCAACAAAGAAGATAAAAAAAGAAGCAACAAAAAAAAGAAAGAAGGATGAAGCAAAAAAAAAAAAAAAAAAAAAAGGAAAAAAAACGCACAAAACGAACGGGAAAACCGGGGAAGGCCACTCTTCTTGTTCTAGCAGGGTTCCCTTCCCGCACCACCTGGCATCCCACTCGAATATTACTTTTGATTCGAATAATAGACAAATACAAATATGACTATATTCAATTTGGATGATATTCAAATATTCAAATATACATATATACACACAAACCATGTTTTCAACATCAATAGGCAAGCAATTTAATAAAGTATAAAGTGTATTTTAATAACTAAGAATTCAACAAATTAACGTAACACAAAAATCTAAAGCATTTAATTTTTAATAGTTATATTTTATAAAATATAATTTGTGTAAGATGCAAATGTATTTATGTTTTTAGATACGGAGTACATTATAGTTCAAGGAGTATCAGAAGTTAAATCATTCAAAATCGATGTTGGTCCATCATATAAATTACAAAGTATTATTATTCAAATATTCGCTTAGGATTCATTAACTATTTGGATATTAATCAAATAGAAATTCAAATTTTATTTTTAATTCATCTCATATTCAGATTTGGATTCATATTCAAAAAAATTAAACGAATACAAATTCAAATATCTTGGTATTTGCTTCGATTCGGTTCGTTTACACCCTTAATTGAGAGTGCGTGGAGCCTATAGGAAGGGGAGAAGGCAAGTGCACTAAGGCCAACTCATTATCGTACAATATTTATTAGGACTAACTACCGCAATTGTACACCATTGCCACATCACCATACGATAATAAGTGTAAATAAAAGAATTAGAGGGTGGATAAATATTGAATGACCAAGATAAATGAAGTATTTTATCATGTTGAAAAACACGAAGAATCAATACACAATTCATTGTTACTTCATTTGACCAGATTTTTTACAATTACTTCATCTAACGGGATCTTGTATGAAAAAACTTGGTCACATGAAGTAACAAAAACTTTCAGAGTAATAATTAAAACATACTCCATACTAACAAAAAATTGTACTTATAAAACTTTCCTTACTACAGACTAAATCATAAATCGAGTTGAAAAAACACGAGGAATTAATTTTGTTCATAACAAAAAAACAGCATGAAAATCCATTTCTTATAACATTACAACGGTTTGAGTTTCAGGTAGAAACGAAACAATGCCCTCTTTACGAGTTACGACACTAGAGAACTCATGAGAAATATGGCAATATTATACTATGCCTTTTTGTGAATATCATTTATTTATTTTTATCTATGCCTGATTTAGAATATGATGATTGATAACACAACAAAGGCAACCCTTATTTAACTTCCAATGGGTTATATTATGCAACCCAAAAAACTCAGCTAATAAAGCCACACTATATATAAGTGGAAAATTAATTGTTTGAAAAGATGATCAAATCCACCCGGCCTGAGGTGAGGGATATGTTAGCAATGGTCTCGAGCCTAAAAACTTATGCGCCCGAAAGATATAGCCCGTCGTGTGTATATTTCAAATAGTGTTGGGCCAATGGATTTAGAATATGTACCCAAAAAAAGTTGAGGACTGTGGCTAATGTCTAGGCAGGCTTAGGCATTGTGGATGCCAATGCCCAAAATAGAGCCCAAACGAAGTTGGAGGGGGATTTTCAAAAAACAAACCTGGTGAAAAGGGGTGTTATTGGATCCAAACCGAACGAGTGAATGGACCGGTCCTGCTAGAGGCAACTCCATTGCTATTCAGGGAGAGGTTGGAAAATTGGGCTTCAAGAAGATCCCGACTTCTGCTACGCCGGTGGTGCTGATGTGGTGGTGGTGGTGGTGGTGGTGGTTGGTGGTGGTGGTGCCATTGTAGCTGATAAAGAGTTTGTAGCCTTCCAAGTTCGCGCTCTAGCATTTCTTGTTCCATGTGTTTAATGACAAACTCTTGTGATAAGCTGTCCAGCCTATGCATGAGAGCTCTATTTTCCATGCTCAATATGAGGTTTTGTTTATCAATAAACTCAAGCTCAGCTGAAACCACAGATTCTTCGACCTGTGAACACCCCAAGATTATGAGAAGGAAAAAAAAGTTTGGGTTAAATCTATCATGTTTGAACAATCTCAGGAGTAAACAACTAGAAAATTTTCCAGTTTCAGTATAATGATTACTTTCCAATTCTCATTTTTGGTTCCCAACATTCAAATTTCCCGATTCAGGTACACTGATAATGATTCCTTACCACTTTTGATGCTTCTCCCACGTTGATGAAGAGAAACTCATTGATAAAACTTAGAATTGAGTAGGGGTTACTCAACTGAGCCATAAGATGCTTGGGTCAAACCACATTATCTAGTTCAACTCGAGGTCTTATTAACTCATGATTTTCTCTTCAAAGTTCCAATAGGGAGTGTAACACCGATTATTGATCTGGTTGAGAGGGGACCAAAAGTGGCAAGAGACCCATCATTATACCCCACAAGTACGCGGAAATCCATAGTAGGGATTAGGGAACCAAAACTAAGAATGACCTATGGCCGAGGGATCAAAACTAAAAGTGGCCAATTTTCAAATATCTAGCATTGGTGTGGTGTTTACCTGCAATGCTTGGACTGTCCTTTCAAGTTCAGAAATGTGCTGTAATTTTCGGATCCTTGACCGATGTGCAGATTGCCTGGATTGAAAATATTTAAATGATACTCCGTATTAGATATGCCTAAGAAGTTACCAATACTTTAGTGCAGATATGATGTGCTGAAATTGTATCACTGGTCTAGAATTTCCTGACTAATTTTCAAAACCCATTGGCTTCTATGTTTGAATACATTCAGGGAAGAGACAAAATGATAAGCGTGTAGAACAAGAAAATAAAGAGAACCATGTGTAGGGCCCCCACGTGAAAACAAAATCTTTCCCCATGTGGAAAGAAAACTCATAGTTTTAAAAACCGGACCGGACCGGGAACCGGCGAACCGGAGGTCGAACCGGTCCGGTCCAACCCTTTGGACCGCTTCGTGCATGAACCAGTTCGAACCGGTGTGAACCGGTAAAAACCGGCCGGTTCACCCGGTCGAACCAGTTTTTTTTTTTTGCAAAATTAGCCAAAATGTATTTTTGGATAGAAATAAATCTAATACGGAGTACGTGTCACGAAAAAAATTCATTTTAATATTTTTGGATATTAAGCAAAGTATATAAAGAAAAATAAAATATCATTATTTTATAAAACTTTTTATATATTTCTCGATACGTAAACTTTATTTTAAATATAAATTAACTAACAAAATAAGTTAGAGTGATTAAAATTTTAATCAAATATCATAAAATTTTATGCACATATGAAAGAAGTTATTTTGATTTATACAAAATACGTGTGTGTTTGTTTGTGTGTGCGCACACATAGACACACATATATGTATATGTATATGTATATATATGTGTGTGTGTGTGTCTATATATATATATATACATAGTTTTAAAAACCGGACCGGACCGGCCGGTTCGGACCGTGAACCGGCAAACCGGTGGTCCAACCGGTCCGGTCCGGCATCTTAGACCGCAACTTGCATCGAACCGCTACGAACCGCGGTGAACCGGAAAAAACCGGCCGGTTCGCCGGCCAAACCAGTTTTTTTTTTTGCATTTTTTTCGCCCAAAAATTTCATCTGTAGGGGTTCGAACCCAAGATCTCTTGCTACCAAAGTTAAATGCCTAACCATCTCAGCTAAAGTATCTTTGTGTCATAAGTTCACTTTAATAATTTTTAATATTACATTATTAAAAAATGTTTAAAGATTTCTTTTCATTTTAAGAACTTTGAAAAATAAAATATTATAGCTATTATTCAAACTCAGAATTATTGATATAATTGATACAATTACAAATATTATGCAAAGATTTCATTTCAGTGTTTTTCATATTAGATAATTTATTTGAAAAAAATAAAATCAACTCTTTGTTTATAAAATGTTTAATATTGTTTTTTAAATATGTAAGTTTTATTGTTAAACTTAGTGACATAACTGAAGTAGATTATTATAGATTTGGTCAAATGTTATACATTATTTACTCTCAAGTATTTATAAATAAGAGAGAGAGTGTTTGCCTATATATATATATATATATATATATATATATATATATATATATATATATATATATATATATATATAATTTTAAAAAATGTTTAAACCACCGGTTCGACCAGTAAACCAGTGAACCAGTACCGAGACCGGTTCGATCACCGGTCCGGTTCTGAAAACTATGTATGTATATATATATATATATATATATATATTTATTTATTTATTTATTTATAAATAAAATGTTTAAACCACTGGTTCGACCAGTAAACCAGTGAACCAGTACCCGGACCGGTTCGGTCCCTGGTCCGGTTTTCAAAACTATGAGAAAACTTGAGAAGAAAGAAGGTTGTGACTTGAATTTTACAAATTTAACATAGTTGTTTAGTTTGAGGCTTCCCGCTTCTTTCAAAAAAATTCAAACAAAGTGTAAGTGTGTTGGTGCTGCCAATGCAACATTTAAGGGCAGAAATTGGGCAAAGAATTTAAAGGTTGACAAGAAGTTGTAACACCCTATTTAACAAAATCATCTATACAAAATGAAATGATGTAGAGAAAACAGGTTTACTAATCCAAAGTAGGCTTGCAAAATACTACTAGATTATGTTTATTATGACTTGAGGTTTCATCCTAAAACTACAACCTATTATGTATAAGTTGGTTTGTATTTTTGTATTCATTTGATGTGGGAGGAATCCCTTCATAATGTTCATTAGATTTAGTATGCGCCAAAACATAATATTTCCTGTGATGAGCAGTATTGACTCTTTGAGTATGTTAACTAGAGAGGGCAATATTGGAAGTAAAAGAGCACATCATACAAAGAAAGATAAAAATAAAACCAAAAGAAAATGCATACTGTTTAGCCCGTTTTGCCTCCCCTTTTGACATATAAGGCTTCGGTTGCTGGCTGTTTGTTTTTTCAGGTGACTTCTCAGTGTTCTGTGAAGTGCATCCCTCATTTTTATGCTTCTCGCTTGATATTGATGCCCTCTCAGAAGTAGGTTCATCTGAAGCCTGAAATAATGATGATGATAACTGTTAAATGTTTTGAAGTATGTGTTACTTTGGGGACCATCTAAAGCTCCATCTCCTGGCCCATGTGTTGTTTTAAAGTTCAAAGTATACTAAAGTTAAATATGGCAAAATTATAAAAAAAAAATAGTGAGTTCATAAATGAAGGTAAAATTGTATAAAGAGATAAGTTATGATAAATTTACAAGCTCTGCATAATTTTCTTATGCATGTTTGGGGCAAATAAATATAATCACATGGCGTATTATGGAGCATTTGAGAGAGTGACAATTGTGGAAAATTAGCAACAAAATTTTATTTCTGAAATTACAAGTGGCACTTGGGGACTGTTTGGTCAGGGTTATCAAGACGAAATGGATAAATTCTATGAAGAAAGAAGTGTTTTGTAACATTCATTTTAAAAGACAAGGCAAAACTACTGGCAAACGGAGCCTTGTTTGAGAACAAATTTAATTTTGTTGGGTTTGTTGTTGTAAAGCGACAGTAATTAGGAATGGATACGAAATGTAAGTTGGCAAGACAAACCTTGTGAATCATTTCGCCTGAAGTTATCAGAGATGTATCACTTGAAAATCGGGTTGACCCCTTTACATTGGGTCCCACATTCACATTCAATTCCTCTGCAACCGCACCTAAGTATGCAAAGGTGTCACTTGCGGAATGCCGGTGACCTTTATGCACTGCTGTCACTGGTTCACTGAGAAGATCCTCGAGCCAGAAAGGCTCTTCTAAATCCATAAGAATGCTTTCAGACAAACAGCGCTGATGGTGGCTTACTCCTTCGTCCATCTTCTGCTTCCCTTTTGAAGCAATGGGAAGAGAGTGGGGGTATGATGATGATGAATCAGAAAGGAATGGGGAAGGAGATGATATGTTTCCACTCGCGTAAGCAGAATTACCAAAGCTTGAAGCTCTGTTAGAACTCTCCATTTAACCCTACAAATAGGATACATTTGAATTTATTAACAAGAACATTCAAATTTAACCGCATCAAATCTTGCAACGAATTTTGCATTAATGCATTGTGTTTACTTATTTTAGACAATTAATTCACACTAAAAGTTTTACGCCACCGACTCCAACATAGTTGGGATTAAGGTGTCAATGATAATGAGCATATATGTATATTGCATATAGCTTAGCAATTTTTGGGTTTTTCTTTTATAGCCGAAAAACACACACGAGCACATATTATAAAAGGCAAAAAGCATTAATATTAGCATAGTGATCATACATATAAACACCATACCCATTACAATGTGTGGATATGTTGAAATGCAATTAACGTACACAACTCCTAAAACTTCTACGTGTACATATTAGCTATCAATGCTACATGCAACGGTCATTCTAAATATAATAACAATTACAAGTCATGTGAACATGAATATGAACATGACCAATTGACCATTACCTCCTCCAAAAAAAAGTGTTGTTTTTATTACAAAAAAAGAGTAAATTCCATCATTAGTCCTCTATTAAAACAAGGGGTTTTCTCTATTTAGTCCTCTATTATCAAATATTACCCATGTGGTCCTTCTTTTAAGGGTCCTTTTCCCCAAAGAGTCCTTTTTGACCTTCTGTCATGTTCGTGTTTCTTTGAGGGCTAAAATTGTAATTTGACATCAATGTTATGTCTAGTGACATATTTTGATGTCATTCAAATCGACAACTCAAAAACAATGACTATGACTGTGGACTAGAATTCTAACAAAAGACCATATTTGTAGACTATGAGTGTAGTAGAAAGCGAGTACAATTCACAAATAATGCATCAGGAATCTGGATTTGTATATGAAAAGAAAGATATACAATAAAAGAAGGACAACCAGGGTAATATTTTGTGATATATTTTAGTGTAATTGGAAAAATTATGACCAATGGTATCCTAATAATCATCAAAGAAGTTTGGTGGTGCATAGTGCACGCTTTGTTGAGTTTATAAGGATAAAAGTCTCATTTTAACGCGGTCCCAAGGGGTAGCATCCCCTTGGCGGGGGTTCGGGGCATCGCCCCCGAGCAGGGTTCAAGGGGCAGCCCCTGCGGGGTCCAAGGAGCAAGGTCGAGATTATGGGCAAAGTGCTATGTTAAAAATTCATTTGAATTTTTATTTTTCGAATTTTCTTTAAAAGGAAAATTCGTTAAAATATAGCACCGATTTGTTCAAAATTTCGCACGAAGGATCGTGCGTCTTAGATAAAAGACGTGATTGCATCTTTTCTTCTCCTTCGCAACTCTATAAATTCTTGGAAACTTTTGGTCGAAATACAATTCGAAAAATTTACAACAATCTCATACTCATTTTTGTTACTTTCGAGTTTTATCCGATTGAATTTTCAATTGAACAACCAAAATATTCAATTTGAAAGTGTTATACACGACTCTCGATAGATCCGCATTATCATTATTATCGAGGACTAAATATGGAAAAATCCTTGTAATAAAGAACCAATGATTAGAGAATTTACTCGCAAAAAAATGTACTTCCTATTGATGGAGCATATACAAAACATGTAATCATCACTATCACATGCCAATATTGACGAGTAGAACCCAAGATCTGTTGACAATCTAATAAGAACACTATAAACACCACAGTCTAATATTATTAAAGAGATGGGTTGATTTCACATGCCCATGTACCTCGGGGAATCGCAATGGCAATTTAGAAATAAAAATAGGAGAAAAAAATGCTTCTAAATTAAAATGAAAATCCAACGATGTCTTCAGCAATTAAAGTCTACGTCTTCGCGAGCTTCTTATCGTTCTCATTCAGCATTTATTGGGTAATTGGATGAAGAATCAACAAGGATGGGTGTAAATCCAAGAATTTTAAAAAGAATAGCAATATGGATATGCATTCACTGTAATATTGATGATCATTGAAGAAATTCAAGCTGTACAAATAATTTCGGCATGCAAATTATCTGGGATGGATGGAGTAAAATACCCAAGCAAAAGATGCAAACACCAATTAGCAAGGGGGGGGGGCGAGATTTACCGGAGAGGAACGGGGGCGGCGGCGAAGCGGGGCGGGGCTTCCGGCGGAGGAGATGAAAGCCCCGCAATTGTTGTTACCTTCAGCAATTCTGCATCTGTTGGAGAAATCTGAATCTCCATTTCAAAGGAAGGGAGAGGAGGAGAGAGAGAGGGAGATGGCGCCGAAGTTTACGCGGTTAAATCGAGAAGGTTCTAACTTCTAACACGTTTCCTCCTTAGAAATGCTAGTGTACCATTTTCCCCCGCCCTCTCCTCATCATATAAATAGGCAAAACACTTAAAAATAAATAAATAATTAAAAATGAAATAAAAATATGTGGTGGAGAAGGGGGTAAGAGACAAATGGGATTATTCTTTGATATACCCCTAGCATTGATCTTCCTCTTTTCCTTTCCAATATACTCTCTCCCTCCTAAAACTTTTTTCTCAGTTTGACTTTTCCTCATTTTTAATTTTTGGCTTTGACTACAAATTTTACTCTCCTTAAAAAATATTTTTTAAATTTTTTTTGTAATCATTCAAAATATAGAGTTAGAAAATAATTGGTGTAAATACATGAGGGTATTAATGTCATTTGTCTCCTTTTTTTAATAGGAAGATAGTTTTAGGACGGAAAAAAAAAGGAAAGTATGAAGAAAGTTTTAGAACGGAAAAAATATGCCCAATATATACGCTTTTTTTATTATTCAATTAATCAAATTTTTTTAATTAAAATAAATATGCCCAAAAATATTGATTTATTATTCAATTAATCAAATTTTTTTAATTAAAATAAATTATTTTTAGACTTTGAGCCGGAATGAAATGTGTTTTGATATCCAATATCATAATCTGGATAAATCTCATAGAGATAAAATCCAGTATGTTGACCAATTTGTGTAATCTTGATTGGAACAAGAGTACAGACCCAAATTAAGAAATAAATAAAGAAATTGTTTATGATGTGAACTTTGAAATGAATTGTTAAAATAAATCATGAGAATAAATAGTATGAATTATATATATATGAACCTTTTTTAATAAAGGTCAATTAAATAAATTTTGACTCTGTCAAAGTCAAGCACCCAAAAATATGATGACGGAAAAAGTATTACAAATAAGTGTAAAAATTATATCGTTGAATAGAGTTTGACTGTCCGATCGCAAAGGTTCAAATGGATTTCAATTCGGAAAAAGTTCGACCAAAAATGTACCCTGACTAGAACCAAATTAGTCCCAATCAGGGAAACTGTTCAGACGGCGCCTCCCAGCGCACTAACCGATCATAGAATTAGAGAGAAGTAAGCATCATGCGTCTTCTTCTTCTTCACCTCTCTATATAAGAAAAATCATTCCTCTCATTTCTCCACCATTCTTCCTCTTTCTTCTTGTTGTGAGTTCCTAGAGTGTAGAGAGTGTAGAGGTACTGCCCAGAGAGCTCAAAGTCATTGGAGTTGGGAGTAATCGTCGACGTAAGTTTCGCCAGAAAATTTGCAAAACCTTCATTTAGGCTCGACGTAAGCCCGTAGATATATCTAGTGACCAGAATGTTCGTACATATCGTTTCTACGTTCATAAATGGTCATTTGATTGAGTTTTGTGTTTGACAAGTTTGTAGGACTAAAAATCCTAAACCTTGAAATTGTTGTTAAAACTACAAATTAATGATACCCAAATGATCTATAAATTTTGAAGAACATTTCTACATAATTTAATTAAAGTTTGGTGACCAAAAATAAAGTTGGAGAAAAGTGGCTGAAGGTAGAAGATGATGAACAAAACCAATCGCCCGAACTGGTTGATCAAAATATTTTCTGAGAATGCTATTTTTAGAGCTCTAAAATCCTATTTTTGATACTAATCAATTATGATCAATATAAAGATGATTTCTCAAAATAAAAATGATGTTTTTGATGAATAAAATCTTATGTGATGTATGACGGTGAGCTAGGGTGTTAACACTCGACGATATGCCGCTATTTTTTATTAAATATTATTATTGTTTATTGATGATTATGATGATCATTATTTGGTGATTATGATTATTATTATTGGTTGACGATTATAATGCATATTATTGACTCATGATTATAATAATTAAACCTTGATGAATATTCTGGTTGAATGATCATGGATAAACTATAATGAAACATCATTGATAGTAATTTCTATTAAATGTTGATTATGATGATTAAATGGATGGCCCATATGATTATGATCGTATAATGACAATAATCTTATTCTAACGAAATACTAAAATATGGTATTGAGTGAAAAAATCGTGCTTAAATATGCTTGTTTGATTATCTTGAGTAAATGATGATTGTGAATAGACAAACCATGATTCAAAATGAATAGATTGACGAATAAGAAAAATAATATGTATTGTAAAGGCTATCTAGGGAACCTCTAAGATAGACCTCAGATTAGAATGGCCTTGTGACAATATGTATATTCGGTGATTTGAATAAAAATGTATAAAAGGAATTCATAAACCAAACTAGAAGATCACTCGTTTAGAAATACCTCGATCCGACGATCCATGATTAGTCGCTATTATGTTGTTGCCTTAACTTACTACAAGTAAGTGTCTCGTTATAAACTGCCTTAAACTAATTATAGTTTAAGCGTCTAGTTAATAATTTCCTTAAATTAATTCTAGTTTTAAACGTCTGATTATTAATTGCCTTTTTAAGAGTCTGGTTATGAAAATATGGATTTCGCCTTAGACTAAAAATAGTTAAGAACGTTGTTATGATTTGGCTTTAGACTAAGAATTGCTAAGAGTATTGTTATGATCTAGCCTTAGACTAAGAATAGTTTAGAGCGTTATTATTATTGGCCTTAGATTAAGAATAAACGGGAACTCGATCTGCGTGAGAATCATGGCCTCATCCCTAACTACATTTACAGGATTATCAGGTACATATGATTAAATCCCTAATTTGTATTTTATGTTTAAGAATTGATCAACATGTGGTATCAGAGCATTATGTTGATTAATCAATCCTTATCGTTTTTCCGAAACCAAACTACCTGTTTTTTTTCCCTTTAAAGATCCGATAAAATTGGATCGGAAATTAGTTTTCTATCCCTGACGAAATCCTCTGATCTTTGAGATTTTGGTTTAATGTTTTGTTGCCATATCCCTTACGTAATCAATTCTTATGGCCTTATGTTTTCAATTCTGTAATTCAAATCGGAAGGCGACTGTGTGAAAATTCCTTTTGAAATTCTTGTTTTTTTTTCCGATTAGGATAAGTGGTGTCTCCACAATAATTCACTGCAAAACAGAATCTCAAGTTGGAAAAGTCAAAATCAGTTTTCAAGATTTCCATTATATGATTTTTTTTATCACATCTTTTTTCACGGAAATCACAAAAAGAAAAAAAAAACTGTTTTGCTTTTGATCGAAGAAAAAAAAACAGTTTTGGTTTCCAACCTTATTTTGATGAAATCATCTTATTTTGGTATTTGATTTGGAATATAATTGTGTTTCCTTAAATTGTATGGCATATCTCACTTTTGCATGATATATTCTGTTTCCTTATTTTATTGACTTATTTTACCAAGAATAGCAAAACTAAATAAGGGATATGCTAAAATACCATTAAAAAGTTAAATTTTTTTTTACTTATTGGAAAATCTCTTGCCTTATATGCCTTTTGATTTTCTAATTTAATTAATATTAATGGGTCCCCAATTTTTCGTAGCCCCGAACCGCTTTAACTTTTGCGGTTAATTAATTATTAACATTAAATTTATAAATCATTTGACTAATCTTAAATAAAATTTATTTTATGATTGGTTAAATTGATTTATTTTGCTTGACTTGAATAATACCTTAGAGTACACTTCTGCCCAAAGGTGATGTGTAACATTTGTAAAATTTATTTCAAGTCTAATTAAGCATTGTCATTTAGTGCATATCCTTAAATAGATATTTGCATGACACTCGTCTTAAATACATAATATTTCACTTCTGTCCAAAGATGATGTGTTATAATTATGTACTGCGAACTAAATATATATGTGCATTAAAATTTAAATGTTTCACTTCTGCCCAAAGGTGATGTGATACATTCAAATTGCACATCATTATTTTATTATTCATAATACTTAAATAAGTGGTCAGAACCAAAGTGAAAGCCATTTGTTTAAGTAGAATTAAATGTAGTCTATTATTTTGGTGTTATAATAGACTCTTATCACAGCTTCATTACTATATAATGGTCCTTATCTTCGCCAGCCTTAGTTAATTACCCCTTAAGTTCTTCTTTAGTTATGTGTCTTATTTCTCTCATCTAAATCCACTATCAGCCCCAAATATGGGAATTGAAACCTTGAACGGTGCGAATTTTTCTTCATGGAAAGATTCACTGATGCTAACTCTTGGCATGTTGGATTTTAATTATGCACTGAGAGAGCCTGCCCCTCCTGCCCTCACTGATAAAAGTACTGCTGAAGATAAAATAGTACATGAGAGATGGGAGAGGTGCAACAGAATGACTCTTATGCTCATTAAAAATTCCATCAGCATAATCATCAGGGGGGCTATTCCAGATTCATCTAATGCTAAAATATATCTGGCTTCCGTGGAGGAACAATTCAAAGCAACTTCTAAGGCACATGCTAGTACTCTTATTTTTGAAGATGGTGACTACAAAATATGACGGGAATAGCGGCAATCGTGAGCACATCATGATGATGAACGACATGGCCCGTAAGCTCAAGGGATTAGACATGGAGATCAGTGAAGGTTTTCTGGTGCACTTTATAATGACTTCTCTTCCTGCATCTTTTGAAGCTTTCAAGGTCAACTACAACACCCAGAAGGTCAAGTGGTCGATGAATGAGTTGATTGCTATGTGCGTACAAGAAAAAGAGCGTCTGAAGCTGGACAAACCTGATGTGGCTTACCTCATGACCGCTAATCCAAAGAAGAGGAAGGGCAATGTTGATAAGAAGGAAGTTTCTAAAGTCCAGAAACGTGATGCAAGTGCTTCTTCCAGCTCTAAGAACTCCAAAGGGAAGTCTTACTGCAAGTTCTGCCGCAAGGAAGGACATAGACAGAAAGACTGCCAAGACTTTAAGGAGTGGCTGACGAAGAAAGGTAATCATCTTTACATGATACTTGAGTCCTTTAATTTAAATGTTCCAACTAATACATGGTGGTTTGACTCTGGTTCTATGGTTCATGTAACCAACTCACTTCAGGGATTCCTTACAATCCAGAAGCTGGAAAGAAACCGAAGAACACTTAAGCTGGGGAATGGAACAGAACTAGCTGTCGAAGCCGTGGGAACCTTAGAATTAATAATGAAAACTGGTTTATGTATTAAACTTTATGATACCTTATATATTCCTGAGATTACTCGGAATTTAGTATCAGGACCAAAGTTAGACATAGACGGTTTTGATGTTTCTCATGGTCATGGCAGACTTACTATTAGTTTCAATTCTCAAGT